ACCTCTAAGACGTGTTTCCAACCAACTGCTAAAAGTCCTGATGTGTTCACATGTAATCCAATCGACGCACTGCTCCGGGTGTTTGGAGCGCAGACTGTTCTTGTGTTCATCGACATACGGGGTCACTAAGGTAGAGTTCTGTAGAACTATGTAGTGTGCTTGAGACCAAGAATATCCGTCCCTGCATATTATTGAGTCTCTTCCAAGAGTGCCTTTTCCAGTCAGTCTCCCCTCATACCGCGATTTAGGGAGACCTATCTTGTTAAGGCCAGGAATGAAGTCAACACAAAACCCGATAACATCCTCTGTTTGATGGCCCATGGAGATGCTTCCTTCTGGCCTAGCGCGATTACGGACATATTTATTTAGGACTCCCATGAACCTCTCAAAGGGGAACATATTGTGTAGAAATACGGGCCCTAGGATGACAATCTCGTCGACTAGATGAACTAGGACGTGCGTCATGATATTGAAAAAGGATGGTGGGAACACCAGCTCAAAACTGACAAGACATTGCGCCACATCACTCCTTAGCCTTGGTACAATTTCTGGATCGATCACCTTCTGAGAGATTGCATTGAGGAATGCACATAGCTTCACAATGGCTAATCGGACGTTTTCCGGTAGAAGCCCCCTCAATGCAACCGGAAGCAGTTGCGTCATAATCACGTGGCAGTCATGAGACTTTAGGTTCTGAAACTTTTTCTCTGGCATATTTATTATTCCCTTTATATTCGACGAGAAGCCAGTCGTGACCTTCATACTGAGCAGGCATTCAAAGAAGATTTCTTTCTCTTCTTTCGTAAGAGCGTAGCTGGCAGGACCTTTATACTGCTTCGGAGGCATGCCGTCTTTTTCGTGCAAACGTTGTAGGTCCTCCCGTGCCTCAGGTGTATCTTTTGTCTTCCCATACACGCCCAAGAAGCCTAGCAGGTTCACGCAAAGGTTCTTCGTCACGTGCATCACGTCGATTGAGGAGCGGACCTCTAGGTCTTTCCAGTAGGGTAGGTCCCAAAATATAGATTTCTTCTTTCGCATGGGTGCGTGTCCCTCAGCGTCATTCGGAACAGCTAGTCCACCGGGTTGCTTAGGGCCTTGGATGAGAACTGGCATCATAATGAACTTCCGCTTCATGCACATCCAAGGAGGAAGGTTATACATACATAAAGTCACGGGCCAGGTGCTGTGATTGCTGCTCTGCTCCCCGAAAGGATTAATGCCATCCGCGCTTAAAGCAAACCATACATTCCTTGGGTCCTTTGCAAACTCATCCCAGTACTTTCTCTCGATTTTTCTCCACTGCGACCCGTCAGCGGGTGCTCTCAACTTCCCATCTTTCTTTCGGTTCTCACTGTGCCATCGCATCAACTTGGCATGCTCTTCGTTTCTGAACAGACATTTCAACCGTGGTATTATAGGAGCATACCACATCACCTTCGCAGGAACCCTCTTCCTGTGGGGCTCGCCGTCAACATCACCAGGGTCATCTCGTCTGATCTTATACCGCAATGCACCACATACCGGGCATGCGTTCAGATCCTTGTATGCACCGCGGTAGAGGATGCAGCCATTAGGGCTTGCATGTATCTTCTCCACCTCCAATCCTAGAGGGCATACGACCTTCTTTGCTGCGTATGTACTGTCGGGCAATTCCTTATCCTTTGGAAGCTTCTTCTTCAATATTTTCAGTAGCTTCTCAAATCCTTTGTCAGCCACAGCATTCTCTGCCCTCCACTGCAGCAATTCCAGTACGGTACCAAGCTTTGTGTTGCCATCTTCGCAATTGGGGTATAACCCTTTTTTGTGATCCTCTAACATGCGATCGAACTTCAGCTTCTCCTTTTGACTTTCGCATTGCGTCCTTGCATCGACAATGACCCGGCGGAGATCATCATCATCGGGCACATTGTCTGGTTCCTCTTGATCTTCAGCAGCTTCACCCGTTGCAGCATCATTGGGCACATCGTCTGGTTCCTCTTGATCTTCACCAGCTCCCCCCGTTGGAGCATCACCGTATTCAGGGGGCACATAGTTGTCATCGTACTCTTCTTCTTCGCCGTCTTCCATCATAACCCCTATTTCTCCGTGCCTCGTCCAAACATTATAGTGTGGCATGAAACCCTTGTAAAGCAGGTGGGCGTGAAGGATTTTCCGGTTAGAGTAAGACCTCGTATTCCCACATTCAGTGCATGGACAACACATAAAACCATTCTGCTTGTTTGCCTCAGCCGCATCGAGAAACTCATGCACGCCCTTAATGTACTCGCGGGTGTGTCTGTCACCGTACATCCATTGCCGGTTCATTTGCGTGCATTTATAATTAAGTGTCCAAATTAATAGAAGTTCATCATTACATTAAAACCAAAGTGCATACATAGTTCTCATCTAACAACATATAGCTCTCCAGAGCATCTAATTAATTAAACCATACATTGAACTATGTAAAACATTTTAATGCGAAAACAAATGCGATCATAATCGCAATCAAGGTAACAATTGATCCAACGGCATAATGATACCAAGCATCGGTATGAATGGCATATTTTCTAATCTTTCTAATCTTTAAGCGCATTGCATCCATCTTGATCTTGTGATCATCGACGACATCCACAACATGCAACTCCAATATTATCTTCTCCTCCTCAAATTTTTTTATTTTTTCCTTCAAAAAATTGTTTTCTTCTTCAACTAAATTTAACCTCTCGACAATAGGGTCGGTTGGCATTTCCGATTCACATACATCCTAGATAAATAAAATCTATGTCACATTGGTCGGCATAATTTTCATAAACAATAAATGAACCAATAGTTATAAAGATAATATACATATCACATCCGAATCATAGACAGGACGAGGGCCGACGGGGGCGGATACCAAAACCATCGCACTATATAAGATGCAATAATAAATGTAAGAAAATGATACAAGTATCTATCTAAACATACAAGTAAGAATATTTTTCCTTTCAGAAAGAAGATAAGAACAAGAGGCTCACCACGGTGGTGTCAGTGATGAGATCGGCGCGGGTGATCGACGGCGGTGAAGACAGGGACGGGGCGTGACGGACCGCTAAATCTAGACAAATCTCGAGGAAAATGGAGCTTGGAGGTCGAGCTTTGAGAGGAGAAAGCTTAAGTAGTGTGGCTCGGGCATTCCATCGAACACCTCATGTGCATAGGAGGTGAGCTAGAGCACCACAAAGCCCTCTCCCCTTCGGCCAGAGAAAAACAGAGCACTGGGGTGCTCTGCTCGCGAGCGAGGGGTATATATAGGCACCTCATTGGTCCCGGTTGGTGACATGAGCCGGGACTAAAGGGGAGCCTTTGGTCCCGGTTCAAGCCACCAACCGGGACCAATGGTGGTGGGCCAAGAGCGAGGCCCATTGGTCCCGGTTCATCCCACCAACCGGGACCAAAAGGTCCAGATGAACCGGGACCAATGGCCCACGTGACCCGGCCGGCCCCCTGGGCTCACGAACCGGGACCAATGCCCACATTGGTCCCGGTTCTAGACTGAACCGGGACTAATGGGTTGACCCGGCCTGGACCAAAGCCCTGTTTTCTATTAGTGAACCTATCTCAAACCTTTCCCATGTCTGTTATAATGATCTTTTCATTTTTCCTTTGTATATTAAGCTAGAGGATATTATTCTGCATTATTTTCAACCGTTACTTTTTACCAGACTGTACATTGTTCCAGTGAACACATCAAAATAGCAGGTCCACAGATCTAAAAGCTCATTGGTTTGGTGTTGGACCGATGGTGACGTACTTATGTTGCTTCCATTGTAGGTGTGATTTTTCTGTTACAAAGTGAGGTGAGTTGAGCTGATTGTTGCTACTTCTATTCGTGGTTTTTTTTAGCAAAACTTCTATTCATGGTTATCAGCATGTTCCTACGCCACCCCTGGCAAGGCTGCATCCTATTTGCTGCTCGGCCATACCCACTCTCCGTGCTTCCTGCTCGTGCCAGTACTGAAGACCCTATAAATACATATCATTATATCATCCAAAAGCCAATGGCAGAAGGTGGAATCTTGCTTCTTATGCGAACATCTCCAAGTTCTTCTACGAGTATATTATAATCATTTGTAGATTGTTGAATTATTTTGATATCCTTTTTGGGGCGAATTATGGGATCCTAACCTTACATTATCTAAACGTTACTCGAAAGGCAGAAGCCGATCTTTATCGAATCATTACTCATAGGTGAGTGTGCCACAAGTTTCTCTTTGCAACCTTGATCTAACATTTTAGGCAGGATTACCACCTGAAGCAGTTTACATCATTACAAGTTACCAGGAGAAGTAAAGAGTGTTAAAAAAATAAAAAGTTGTGTACAAATATTTTGGAAAGGTAGAATCACGAAAATAAAAAGTTGTGTACAAATATTATGGGATAATTCCATATGCATATGCAATTTATCACGAAAATCTCTAACTAAGGGGAAAGACTACGTCCTACTATCTACATCAAGTGTTTGTTTAGGACAAGCCCAAATAGTGTTTCAATTTTTTTATTAAAAATAAGAAAATTACCCAAAATTAACCTAATTATCTATGTTTATTTTAATTGAATATAAAAAACGATGCACAATGGCGCACGAAGCAGATTGTGTCTCTTTTTTCGCCTGGTGCAACGCACGGGCATTTATATTAATTATTAAATAAATTAACTTGAATTAAGGTATAAAGCTGGTGTTCTCTAAAGAAAAAATTAATCCTAGTCCGAGCAATATCGTGGAGTGAGTATGGTTTACACGATCGACATGGAGGAGACAGGGCAGGCTTTGTGCATTGCCCGGCTTTCCACCGCTGTAGAAAAGTATGATTCTTTGAAGAATGAAACAAAATGTGGATCATTGGATATTTAAAGAGGGGCATATCAAGGGCTGAGATTCACAGACCCGTCACAAACAGCACCCCTTTTTCAGTTTGTGTAAAGTATTATTGACAGGTAAAAAAATGTATTATTGACCAGAAAAGTCGATCTCCTGTAGATCATTCGCCGGAGAGGAAGGCGACCACCCGATCCATGAGAGCCGAGGACTCGTCGCGCTCCGGCTGGAGGAGGAAGAACCCATGCTCCTCCCCGGGGGACTCCAGCCACTCCGCCGTGCCGGGCCACCCGCTCCCCTTGACGGCCTGATAATACGCGGCGGCCCTCGCCCGCCCAAAGTCCCTCTCGGCGGAGCAGACGAACAGCCTCCGGCCCGCCAGCGCGCGCAAGCTCGGCGCCCCGGGAGCCATCGGGTTCAGCCTCGGGTCGTCCACCCCTAGGCCGTCGCCGTCCGGGCATATCAGCGCCCAGAGCTTCTCCATGTGATATCTCGTGTCCGCCGCCTCGCCGTCCACCGGCTCCTTCCCGCCAAACATGGGGTGCAGCAGGAGCGCCCGCTCCACCACCGCCCCCGCGGGCAAACCGTCGTGATCAGTGTTGATCGCCATGTTGTGGACGATGTTGGCGCCGCCGCTGTCGCCGGCCAGGAAGATGCGGCCGGCGTCGCCGTGCTCCGACAGCCACGGGTCGCCTACCCTCGACGCGGCCCAGCTGAGCGCCAGCCAGGAGTCGTCGTAGGCGGCCGGGATCGGGTGCTCCGGCGCGAGGCGGTAGTCGACGGACACGGCCAGGACGCCGGCCCGGGAGACGATGGAGTTGAGGTAGCCGTGGTACATCTGGGAGGCGGCCGAGCCGAGGACCAGGCCGCCGCCGTGGAAGTAGACGAGGATGGGCAGCCTCTCCCTCCCGCGGTCGGGGCCGTCGGGGAGCGCTGGCAGGTAGAGGCGGACGAAGACGCCGGTGGCGGCGTCGAGCACGACGTCCTTGGAGGTGACGCCCGTGGCGGCGTCGAAGCCGGGCTGGGTGGTGTCCGTGCCGAAGAAGCGCTCCACGCGGCCGTCCTCGTGGACGCGGAACGCCGGCGAGTCGAACAGCATCTTGCTGGCTGCTGGAGCTGGATCCATCGCTCGCATGCAAGGTGGTCTCAGACGGTGGCCGGGAGATGAGACACGGGGCCTAATTAATACTGCTCCTCCATTGATTAGCTCAAAGACTTGGAGTAGATGGTCTTCGCACGCACGCCATCTTCGTCGCTATCTCCTGCCGAAGCTTCGATTCACCTGCTGACACGCCATCGTTCACCAGTCAAGTCAAAGTACACGCCGGCCATCGTTCACCTGCTGACACGCCATCGTTCACCAGACTTGGAGTAGTAGGTGAAGCTTCGATTCACCTACTGCCGGAGAGATCGACAAGAGCAAAAGGGACCGACGACTATTGCACGCGTATTCCATTAGCTTTTCACTTGTGCCTTGGATTTCCATCTGACTTGTCTATTGTTGCTTTATCTTGGTTTTTGTTTGTATACTCGTACCAAAACTTAGATATCATGTCCTTTTATCTTGGTTTTTATTTGTATACTCGTACCAAAACTTAGATATCATATCCTTTCATGATCGGCAGTGTCGTCATCCAGGCCCGCTGGTTCCGCTCCTGCCACATGAAATTCATCATGAGGATTATGACTGAAAATGAATAGATTGAAAGTTTCTCGAGAATAAAAAGGAGCTCACAGCCTTTTGTGGAGCAGGAGCTGAGCTAGCGAGTTGTTGAGTTGCGTATGTGGTATGTCCACCAACCTAGCTAGCAGAATTGCAGTCGGCGCATGTGAAAAGTCTCTGGGCCCCTCGCCACGGCCAAATTTGATGTTTTGACCATTTTGCAAAGAGTAATGCTATATCTACGTGAAACACAAACGTAAATTAACGTAAACAGCAACATGGTGGGCTGGGATTGAAGAGAGGGGGAGGAAGGGGCCCACCCCCTGTTAAAATCAGGGGGGCAGAGGATATTTAGTTAAGGCAGGTTACGTAAGCTTCCGTAACTTTTTACGTAGATGTAGCATTATTGTTTTGCAAAAGTTGAGCGAGATTTGATCCAGCTTTGATAAAATTACGAGATATAACCCTTTTCCTACGTGCATTGAGGTGGAGGGGAGGAGAGGAAATGGATACATATGGTGATTGGGAATGACTGAATCGATGAATGTGATGTTACTTGTTTGACTAACTATAATATTTGCAAATTCACCACATATTTATAAGAAATAGCTATGCCTCATGTAAATCCTACACAGTTGTCACCCGCGAAAAAAAATCCTACACTATTGGATATTACATGAAGATTTGTGAGGATTATTTTTTCTTTTACTCCCTCCGGTCCTTTTCAGTTTGCATATAAGTTTTGTCCGGAGTCAAAGTATCTCTACTATCAACATTGACAATGCCAAATCAATATTGTTAGATTCATTGTGAAATGTAGTTTCATAGTATACATATTTTGTATTGTAGATGTTGATATTTTTAAATATAAATTTGGTCAAACTTTGTAAAGTTTGACTTGAAAAAGAAAATCTAATATGCAGAGTAAAAAGGACTAGAGGGAGTTCAGCTCAAGCCTCCTCCTTTGAATCTCCATGAAAGCATCCATTTACTCCGCCTTGAAACGCCGGCGCTCCTTCTCCCTTGAGTCCTTGTTCATCATGCCGTCCACGCTTGCGATCAAGACGTTGGTGGCCGCATCTCGCTTGTCCTCCTTCTTGGAAACGCCGACGACAGCAACTTGGACGAGGCCGTGCTGGCTGGGGTTTAACCCTAGCATGTAGAGCGCCTCCCTCATTGCCGCCGCGACGCGGGCGTTGGTGACCCCCTGCTGCGCGGCGGCGACGGTGGCGGCCTACGTGGCGGCCTCACCCCTCGCGTCCGCGGCGTGCCTCCGGCCCTTCCTCCGACTCTCTTTCCCGTTGTTCGGGCGTCAACGCCTTCTTTGGCTTGGTCGCGGCGGCGGTCTTGCGCGGGGCACGAGGCTTGCCTTTCCCGGAGGGGGCGGCGGTGCCGGACGAGGCGAGGGAGGCGAGGCCGGCGGCGGCGTTGAGGTCGATGGCGTCCTTCATGGCGGGGTGTGAGGCGGGAGCGCGCGCGGGCGGGAGTGTTTTGGGAAAAAATAAGGGGAAATGGTCGTGGCTGCCACCGACCAGCGGGCCCGGGGAAAGGTGTAGGCGCGCGCGCGTCCGTCTCGTGTCTGCGCCGACACAAATCCGGCTGAAAATTGAGCCGATAATGGGTAGCCATGCGGACGCCAAGCGGACACGCGTCCGTTTGGGTCGACGCATTGGGCCGTCTTTTCTGTCCACACCGACCCAAACGGATGGCGATGGGCGAAATGGGTCACCCCATTGGAGTTGCTCTTATTGCTAACGAGACTCACTTACAGCTTGCATGTACACACATAATCACTTCTCTATGCGTGCACACGGTAATATGACTAGGCTATATGCATGACCCAAACTCAAAGCAAGGAAAACCAAAGGTGATGAACAGCATACAGGAAGGTTAGCTCGTACAAGAAGCTCCACCGCATAGTTCACTTCGATTCTTGTGAGGTCCCACAAGTACATGTGGACAGTGTAAAGTACACGAATCAGCGACAGCAAATATTTACTAGTACTGATCTAAACGATCTTATATTAATTTACAGAGAAAGTACCAAACCAAAGCAATGAAAACTAATGACAAATTTAACAAATAATTTGCCTTTGCAATAAACAAATAGAGGTGTGTACCACAATACATCAATGTTACATAGGTAAAAAGACATACACATGAGGATTAGATGTCCTCAACTTACAATACTATAAAGAAAATGAAATGCAATACAAACGAAGCTAAAGACAAAATAGTACTTCAACGAACAATTAAACAAACAAACAGACACACGCGGGAACACGAGACTTTTTAAAACTGTGCTTGGATCCAATCGACTGTGTTCTTCTCCACTTGGAATGCCTTGGTGATAACATCATCTGAGATGGCAGGCTCCGATCCAAACACCGCGTTGGCTACCGTGATCACTCCAGGGTTCTGACTGCTCAGTGCCGCAATGGCCACCGCATGAGTGTTCCCATTATTGAACTGGTAATGGACGAGGCCCTTGGGGAACACAAACACGTCTCCCTTGGCGAGAACCTTGTTGAAGTGTCTGTTCTCAGGGTTCGAGGTGACAAAGCCGACGTGGAGGCAGCCCTCTAGCACGGTCAAGATCTCGGTGGAGCGCGGGTGGGTGTGAGGAGGGTTGAGGCCGTTCGGCGCATAGTCGATGCGGACGAGGGAGACGCCCATGGTGTTCAGCCCACCGATCTGCGCGACGTTGACGGCGGTCACCACGGAACCCTGCTTGTTGGCCGTGTTGCCGGCCATATGAAGGCCAGAAAAGAAGAAGTCCTCCGCGACGACATCCTTCACATCTTTGCAAGGGAGTCCGTTGACACGCACTGCGGTGATTGGATGCATCCATGTAAGATGTCAGAGACGAGTGATTGCTTAACTGCAATTCCATGAGGGTGTATTAGCCAGTATGCATTTACATCACCTTGAGACGTCTTGTCCGCAACGCAGAAGTCCTGGAGAAGGCTGGGGTCGGAGGCGGCGACGCCATGCTGCGAGCATGCAAAGGCCAAGAGAGCTCCTGCAAGGAGCAGCACACGAATGGCCACCATGTCTCTTTTCTGTTTTCGCCTCGCTAAAACGAGTGAGCAAGCAGTGTTGATACTGGTAGGAAGGTGCTCGCTGTCAAGCTTTGGGAATTGTTTGCTGTGCTGCTTCGACTGTGCGATATCTAAGCAATAATGTTGGCTAGTATTTATAGGGAATAATCCTGCCATAGTGCCATGTATATTTGTATATGTATGTATATACATGGGTTGGGTAGGAACAAGTCTTGTGATGTGGGCAGCCTGCGCAGAGCGTGTGCTTAGATCTGGACAGCCTGCTACGCATATGTATGTATGTATGTATGTATGTTGGACGGCAGGATCAAATTATCTATGCTTGAACAAGTCGCCTGTGCATATCCACAACGACCAAGAATCCAAGGAGGCAAATACAGAACGATAAGCTCCTTGACCATGGACCCCCTCAGGATGGCCTTGCGTCGGGCGCTGATTCGGTTTATATGAAGCACAAGAACACATCTTCATGACAGATTGTAAAGTTTGTGATTATCTTTTTCAAGACACCTGCATCTATTGGTGTCCGTTCATGTATTTCTGCTGTAATTCTAGAGCAATACATGATGACGAGATAGAGGTACATTAACTGACAGTATCTTCATGCATTTCGGTCAGGAATGGTCCGTCAGGGTACGGAGAAGCATCAAGATGAACAACACCAGATTACAATTAACCCAGCCTTATGTAGTACTACAACAGTATACAACTGTACAAGTGAAGACACGGGTTGATATAAACTATAAATTGCAGACTAGCTCTACTTATCAGTTTTCGAGGGATCCATCAGTACAAGAAGCAAGTTCGTCAACAGAAAACAGAAGCCAGCAAGACAGGTTATGTTAGGCTCCGGGCCAATAATTCCAACCGAACAGAACATAGGCAAGATCAAGAGAGCAAGTGTGACCAAGCCTTCACCCTTCAGTAAACACACCAAATTGTCATCCATCATGAACTTACAGTAAACACACCATAGCGAAGCCATGGCGTCGATCAGGAAAGTATTACAGAAGGGCGCAAGTTACCATATCAAAGCCATAGCGTCGACCAGGAAAGTAATGGCTACCAACAGGATGGATGAGATATACTTGCTTACAAAGTACACTCACTGATGCCATTGATTTTTCGTACACGGCATACAGTTTGACAGAACCCTTTGTCAGATATCTCTATTTTCTGATGCGGAGATATGATGCTCTTTTCATGATATATTTCGTGTGTCCTACACAGACTTTTCTCTATCTTTTTTCATCTTTTCTACTTCTTGGTAGGGTATGACAGCATTTCAGCCTGCAAAGACGAAAGTAGAACTTGGATCAGAACTTGAAATGAGAAGAGACGAAACATAAAACTGGAAACACGTCTTTCATAACTGAATTGGCACAAGGGGCAATTGCCTAGCAGGTTTCAAAACAGTGTTTGGTGCTGCAGCAAAGAGTTTTCAGAACAAACTTGCCTGGTTATTTGCATGATCGATTTCGAAGAACTACGTCTTCTGCATGGCTGCCTCAGGATCCCAGCTCCTGGAACACAAGTCAGCACTGCCGCAGCCACTCAGTACCAGGCTCAGGCTTCCAGTTGCGCACCCTGAGGACACCGATGACACCATTGTAGTGGAACGGCTGTCTGAGTGTCCACTCCAGGTGCTTGAGAGTGTAGCCAGAAAAGAGCCTAGCCACCCGTGAGAGCCGCCAACAGCCTCTACGTCCTCCTTGTCAGAGTTGTTGACTCTCCAGCTCCCCGTGGTACGTCGTGAGGACACCGGCACTACAACTGCAGTGGCATGACTGCTGGAGCATCCCCTCCAGCTGCCAGAGAGTCTGTCCAGTGAAGAGCGCAGCCACCCACGAGAGAGACCCACAGCCTCTGCCACCTCCTCTCCAGGCGGTGCTGGCGCAACCACTGTCTGTGCCTCGACATCATAGCGATCTGAGCTGTGCGTCTTTTCAGGGTCAGGGAAGGGGATGGTGATGGAAGCATCGCAGAACGGACAACAGTAAGGTGTGTGTCCACGAATCCATGGGATAATGCACCGCTCGTGGAATTTATGCAAGCACGCCGGAAGGGACAGGATCATATCGCTAGGCGCAAAGTTTTGGGCACAGATGCAGCAGAACATCCCCTGCTGCAACAGCACGGGTGGTTGCGAGAGCAACCCCAAGATCACCAGCTCCACCTCTGGTAGAGAGGGCGCAGATGGCACAGGGACCTTCAACCCAAACACCAAACCTTCTGCATGCTTTCTAGACGAAGCACTGGCCCCCGGGCAAGCATGAACAGCTGCCGCCGCTGCACACTTCCTGTCAGACTCTCCTGATGATGAGGCCCTCCGGGAGATGCTGCTGCGGCGAGAGAATGGCGACCAGGACGGGCGAGGGGGGCGGGAGCTACGACAAAAGACCTTAATGCACAAGATCACGAGGGTTGACGCGATGATGACGATAGCGATGATGGCAATGCTGGCACCTATGGATGATGACGGTGCAGCTGAGGGTGATGCGCTCGGCACAGAGGGATATCCCATAAGAAGAGGTGGTGGCGGTCCTGGAAGCATATCTGGAGAAACACAATAACTGAAATCAGATTCCTCTACTAGGTCAACCAAACAAATTGATGACAAAAAGATGAGCATGTTAACAAGGAAACTAGAAGACAACTTTACAAAATCAACTGAGACTGTAGCTGCTGAAAAGAAAGTAAATGATCTAATTACTTCTTCCTCTAAAAGGCAGAAACCTGGTAAAGTTTCCCTCCCCCTTCTATAACTGTTCTGTGTTATGGTACAACTTCAGTTGTATTAAGTTATCATATAGTTGATGAGAAGTTGGACAGAGAGGCAAAGATAAATATATTATTATCAGACATCCAACCTGTATATTGCCATTTGTTAGTTTTCTTGTAGTCCAAACTATTTTTATTTTATGCACGAGTACCTTTTTACACAGCATCTCACTTTTGGCAAATGTGCTTTCCATGATTATTCCTTCAGTTGACTGTAAGTATTTGGTCCGGGACAATGTAATATTATGAACTTTCAGGAAGTTGGCTACCTGGTATCTACTTCTAGAGATGTCTTACTTGTGTACTAAGCTCTAATTTTTATCTCTGCAGCCAGATGCCGTCTGAAGAAGAACCAAGTTCTCAGCAGATGTCTTACTTCTGTACTAACATTGCTCTAATTTTTAACTCCGCACCCGAATGCAGTTTGAAGAAGAACCAAGTTCTCATCCGTGTAGGAAAACTGGGGCCTCTATCTGATTCTACCGACACTGGAAGTGAAGTTGCTGGTGTGTCAAATAGCAGTATGCCTGAATCCTGATCACAAGGTACGGTTCATTGCATATGCATGCATATATTAAATAATAAGTGCTGAATGTTTCTTTTGTAAGACATCTTGACACTCTTATGCAATTCCTATGCAATGAACATGTGGAAATACAAAGCATGAAGACGATGAATTTAGTAAACTCGCAATGCAGCTCAATTGACTGTAAGTCTTTGGTCCGGGACAATGTAGTATTATGAACTCTTAGGAAGCTGGCTATCTGATATCTACTTCTAGAGATGTCTTATTTCTGTACTAACATTGCTCTAATTTTTAACTCTGCAGCCGGATGTCGTTTGAAGAAGAACCAAGTTCTCAGCAGTGTAGGAAAATTGGCATCTCTATCTGACTCTACTGATACTGAAAGTGAAGTTGCTGGTGTGCCAAGTAGCAGTATGCCGGAATCCTGATCACAAGGTACGACTAATTGCGCATGCATCCATATAGTGAATAACAAGTGCTGAATGTTCCTTTTGTAAGATGGTTTGACACGCTTATGCAGTTCATAACTTCGTATGCAAGCAACATGTGGAAATACAAAACGTGAAGACCATGAATTCAGTGGATTGGGTGGTCAGCCTTTTCTCCCCAAGTGTCTGCTAAACATCTCGCAGTGCAGCCCTCCAATCAATCTGAACTCGATAATTCAGATAGCAACCTGTGAATCCCCCACTTCCCCGCACAGCTCCAAATTCCTCAGCGCGAAATGCGCAAAAGCACGGACGCAGACAGTGTACACTTTGGTTGCAGCCACAAATTGAGCTCGAAAATTCGATCTCCCGCCCCATTCTAGATTGTATCGAATCATCAATGCAGAGCACCGGTAAGGGGAATCGGATCGGCAAATCCTACCCAATGAATCGGGCGACAAATCCTAAGCCTGCAAGGGGAGGGGAAGGCATGTAATAGGTAGTACCTCCTGATGCATCGGTGATGGAGGCGACGACGGACGAGGCCAGCGGGCGACCCGGCGGTGGCGGCGCTGCGGCTTGAGGTCCGGACGCCTTCGCGGGTACCTGGAGCTGTCGGAGGAGGAGGAGGTATGAGCTAGGGTTAGGCTCCGCGGCGGCGAGGGTTCCCGCGTGCGTGCGCGCGGGGCGGAGGAATCGGGGCGCGCGGGTGAGCGAGCCTTACCTCAGGGGGCGCGACGGCGACGGGAAGAGAGGCTGACGGAGCGGGTCGCCGGTGCCGGAGGGATCGCGCGCGCGGCGCGGACGAGGAGGCGGCGGCGGTGGGGATGGGAGAGGAGAAGGCGAGGTCAGGTGGGATGGGAAGGAAGGTTTTGGTGGGGGATTGGCGCCTGACCTGAGCGGGAGGAGACGGCGATCAGAAAGAAGCAGTTCTATGGCCCACATGTCAGCTAACAGGCTATTGGTCTTTTTCTTCCTCGTCGGTTTTTCTTTAAAAAACTTTCAATTTATTCATCAAACATCATACATCATGGCAGTACAAAAAAACACCAAAAGTAAAAAAAAATACATCCATATCCGTAGACCACCTAACGACGACTACGAGCACTGAAGCAAGCCGAGGGCACGCCGCCGTCACCGCCCTCCCCTCATCGGAGCGGAGCAAACCTTGTTGTACTGGATAGTCGAAAAGTGATCATGCTAAGGCCCCAAGGGACCAGCGCATCAGAATAACACCCGTCGCCAATGAAAAATAAAAGCATAAATCGAAAGGGTCCAACCTATAGACACGCGAACGCAGACTGGGATTTAACAAATCCACCGAAAAGAAACACCAACCGTATCCCACGAGATCCGCTAGAGCCACACCTCCATACAAGGGCTGCCGCGTGGCAACAGGGCCTGCCGCCTGACGGCGTGGCGGCAGGTGCCACGCGTCGGCTAGCGCGGTTGGCGCCTGGGGTGAGGGGGTCTCTTTTGTCATTTCCATCCACATGTAGTCTTTTTGGCAATTGCGTTGGGCACTTGGTCCTTTTGGACAAAAATTCATATTTTTTTGTATAAAATAGAATGCATGTCTCCAGTGATTAGTTCTAAGAAATGCCAGCATAGTTCGAGGTAAACTAGCCAGAAAACTATGATTATTTTAATTAAGGTTAGAGTCATGGATTACATGATTGATTTTCAAAACACAACATCAGATGCAGCTGAGCACACCGCTTATGCGATATATTCGATTGGTGGAATTCTTGAACTTCGTATTCATATTAACCCATGTATTTGTTTGCTAACGGTAATTGTTTCATCTGATGGTACTACCATTGTGTTACAAAGAACAAGTACTTTGCTAATGGCAAGAGGCGTAATGTTGCAAGCACGTATATCAGTAGTGTATACTACCAAGGTGGCATTGGGCTTGCATAGGTGAGGAAGCATTGGGTGCACATTTATGTCACTGTTTTCTTGATCAATATATTTCATTAGCAGGTGAGGGAGCCTCGTGAAACTTTATTTTATTTAATGTCTTTTTTAAAACTGAAACTGGCAAACAACTCGCTTTGTGTATGATCAAACCTTGAAACTGATTAGGTTCCGTATAGATATAGCTGATTCTACTTTTGTTCAATTATTATGGATACAAGCATCAACATATGTATTTTTTTATTTAATGTTTTGTTTCTCCCCCCTTTTCGACCCATTCTCAAAGGTGTGTTGCCATCGAACACAGAGACTAGATGTTCTGCTCTTTGTGTCTGAACAATCTGTAGCAGCAAGTTTTTTCTTAACAGTGTTCAGCAAACTTGCCCACATGTTGTATATAAAAAAAAATATACAGTTCCATTAAACTTGCTTCTATTTTTTTTGTCAAAATACATCTGCCCATGGTTACCGAATAAACTATTGTTGACTATTGTCGGGCGAGGTGAAGATGTTGTCACATCGAGGTCCATACAAATGGGATTAGAGAACAAGAGAAGAGTTTGTCTTGGTGTTGATTCTTGCATGAATTGTATTAGGGTGTGTGCATTCTGTCCGATGGGATTTGATTGTAAATCTTTGTTCACTACTTTAGGTGTGCATTGAGCGTACATGATTTGCTTGAAAATAACAAATTAATTGGCAAGTTTGGATTATATCTAACTAGAACGACATTGACACTTCTCGATTGGAAAATTTTGATTTTTTAGATAGAAATAACTAGAACGACATAGACACAAGTTCTCAGCATGTTAAATATGTTCACCTATATTCTGAGTTTAAGTTACATGGATTTTTGGGTACATTATTAGACCTCTCAATTGATATTTTATATTACAATATAATTATCCGCAACGAGGTCATATATAAACATTTCTTCAGAGCGGTTGTTCCCCTGCTTCATGGATCTGTGGCACTCAATGGAGTTGTTCAAATGATGGTGTTGAAACATAAAGAAGACTATGGAAAGTAGGAATTGTGAGAAAATAATAATTTTACACGAATGGATAAATAGTGCCTGTACCTAAGTATACATTTGAATCTGTTCTTCAAGATTCATAGAAATAAGGAGGATACTGATGATTTGAAATAAGAATGCAATAGCTTTTTGGGTGAAAAATGAATCTTACAAACACAACAATTCTTTTGAAATATTTCTTTATTACTAATATTAGATTATCCTTTTACATACACAAATAAATTTATATAATGGTCTTAATATTAGTTGAGACGTGCTTTGCACGTGCACGCTTACTAGTTATATTAAATAAATTTTGGCTCTAGGGTGATAAATAAATTTATACTAAACTTCCATACTTATTTGAACATATCTTTCACTATAGTAGATTCTTAATGTGTATTTTGCTCTATTACTTGGTTGGTATAGTTAATCCAATAACAATGTTGCTAATGCTAATTATAGCATTTTTTATTATACATTGTATTGTTTTTCACCTAAAATTCTGCTTGTGCTAAATTTGAACTATGTGTTGTAACAAAAGTTCAATGTTGATTACTTTTTTCTAGCTGACCAAACTATTCAATGAGCGTGTGTGTGTGTGAGAGAGAGGTCATAATAATATAACTGAGATACAATCTAACTAATATCTTGATAGTAGTTTGTAGTATATTGTAAGGTAAGCATATCTTTGGCCTATTGACTGAATTGTAGGCAAATGGCTCTAGCAAGTATGGCCCAATAATAAGTTGGGGACGTGTGCATGCTTTGTAATTGATAACGAAATAGTATTGCTTATATTAATCACTAGAAAAACTAACAATACCAATGCCTCTAGTTTTGTAAACATGCAATTTCATTTGATATGCTTGTTTGTAATATAA